AGGGAGAGTCTTTACTGCTGTGAAAGATAGGTTAGAGAACCAATAAAATATCCTCTACCACTAAAGGTCGTTAAATTCGTATGATGAATGTGTGATTTTCAAGGTTACATTCATGATTTTTTGAAGCCAATACATGAGTTTGAAGGCTAGACTTGACAGTTTTTATGTCCTCCAGAGAAGAAAGAAAGAACAAGTAAACGAGAACAAAGGACAGAACTAAACCATTTTCTTTAGTGGCTCCCTAAAATCTCAAAATCAATCTCTCTCTCTCTCTCTCATTTCTCTTGGGTCAGAACCAACTCATGGTTCCTCCAGTGGTCTTTCCAAGGCTATAAATCTCATGGGAGGATATTGCCCTTCTTTTTCTCACAGAGCCGCTGGTGGATTTGAACCCCAGAAAAGTGTACACTTCAGATTCTCCCTAGGACATAGTACATTGAAACAAGTGGTCTTTGTTCTGTGAAAATAAGTGAGGCAGTGAGAGAAAAAGAGATAATGTCCTTAATTAACAGGGGTAAAATATAGTGAAAAGTAATGATGAGTAAAATATAAGTAATATTGCATAGATATAGATTATATATAATTATACAAATAATTACATATCAGAAAAGGCAATTATACAAAGCTTGTATCATAATTACAGGCTTCCTCAGTATTTATCATGTTGCTTTTTTATTAAATTTTATTAATTTTAATGAACATTTACAGAGATTTGGGGTTTCCGTTCATTCATTGTTGCACTATTTTCTCTACCCTCCCTCCCAATTCGTTCCTCTTTTTTTTTCCCCATTGAAAGTCTGTTTTAATTGTCCCATTGACACAGTGTTTGTCAAAGCCAGTTCTGATTAATCTCCTTTGTCCGTGTGTCCTTTGCCATTTCCTATCACTCCTCCCTGAGAGAGACTTCACCTTGATTCATAAGGAAAAGGGGACGGTGCATTCTCTTAGCTACTTCCTGCTGAAAGCGGACGTTGTAGGTTTCAGGGTGAAGATCTTCTCTCACTACTCTAAAGGGTCCCTTTGGCAATAGGAAACACGTAGACTATTGTGGAGACTGATTTTGGTATCATGTTGCTTCTATGTATCTTTTTTTACTTTTTCTTTTCAAGATTTCTTCTAATATTTTTTTATTTTTTAATCTTTTTAAATCTAAATGTGAGTGGATGACTGGTGGTTTGTCTCAGATTACATATGATTAACTAGTAGGTTAATATTGCATATTGCAATAGACAGTGAAAATATTTCATATCTCAAAAGTCAGCATTAGGGAGCTCTGGTGGCCTAATGACAAGAAGCTACACTGCAATCCCAGAGGTGTGGGGTTTGAATCCACCCGATGATCTGCTGGAGAAGGAAAGGCCAGTCAGATCTGATTTGCTAGGCTGATGCACCTTTTTCCTGGAGGATGGTGACACATTAGACATATTTATACTAACAATCATCTAACATGATGAGAAAATGGTAAACTAAAAGTGAAAAAGCATATAGACTTTTTTACCTGATTTTGTTACTTTCTGGTCTGAGGTCTCAGGCATTTAATACCTTTGAGCTTTCATTTCTTCATGTACGACATAGCAGTAATAATGTATGCCATGTCTCCTCTATGAATAAGGAAGATCGAAGAATTGATGCATTTGAATTGTAGGGTTTGGGAAGAAGATTTAATATACCATGGACTGCCAAAAGAACACACAAATTTTTCTTGAAGAAAATGAAATCAAGGTGCTCCTTGGAGGCAAGGTTGTTGAAACTTTGCCTCATATACTTTTTCATGAGGTGCCAGTACTCAGAAAAAGACATCATGCTGGGGAAAGTAGGTCAGCAAAAAATAGGAAAACTCTTCGCAAGATGGCTTGATTAACACTGTGCCTACCACACAATGGACGTGACCATGATCATAAAGATGGTACAGGATAGGGCAAGATTTCCATCTGTTGCTTATAGTCACCTTGACAGTGCCAAACGACAACATGACTCCCATAGAAAAGTAATTGAAAAAGCAAAAAGAGGTCAAATACATCATACACTGATGTAACTTTTCCTAAATTACCTCCTTCAAGTTGCCTCTTAAAAGAGGAAATTGCCCTCCTGCAAAGCTCCATGAAAATGAAATCAACAACCATGCCCTACTCTAGGCAATCACCTGCTCCATCATATGAGTTTCAAAGTCCGACGTAAAGGATCTTGCCATTAACTCCTCAGTCCATTCATTTACAACTGTACAAGTTGAAGTCTCAATTCCACTCATGTGAGGAGAAACGCTGGTGGCTCTCTCCTTTAATTACAAACTCGGAGTCTGGGATGCAAGTTTTCATCATTTTTATATAATACTCTGATTCAAATAAAATCAGGAGAAGAATTTCTCTTTCGTTAATTATGCAGTTAAAACCGTCACAGGCCAAAGGTTGAAGTGGCCCTCTTAGAATCTGATGGTTGAAGTGGCCCTCTTAGAATCTGATGTCTTAGACTGCTGTGTGTTACTGTAGTTATGAGCAAGGGAAACCTGCATGCCTGTGACTGATCCTGATCTGTGAGTTTCCCCCAGTAAATGCAGTTCCGATAGATCTAGTATGTGTGCTCTCTGGCCTAGTGATACTCATGATAACATGGAAAATTGTTTAAAACATCATTAAATTCCTCATAGATTTTAAGAGTTAAATCCATGCTTAAATTTAATGGAAAAGTTTTCCAAAGAACTTGTTGTTGTTGTTATGTGCTATCAAGTCACTGTACTCATACACTGTACTCATAGTTACCCTGTGTACAACAGCTCTGAACCCTGCTCTATCCTGAGCCAATCTTATTGTCTTTGACATACCTACCCCCATTACCCCAGTCACTAAATCAATCCATTACGTTGAAGGTCTTCCTCTTTGCACTGTCCCTACACCTACCCAAGAATGTTGTCCCTCTCCAACAACTGGTCCCTCCTTGAAACATACGAAACCTCAGATTTCTTGCCTCCAAAGAGCAGCCTGGTTTCACCCTCTCCAGGATGAACTAGTGTTTGTTAAGAAAAAGTCAAGAGAACCAATATCATCTGTAGTAAGGGGCAGGAGGCAACAGGCGGGGGAGGGCAAGTGTTGAGAAAATGCAAATGAATACCAAATCTGCCAACCCAGAAAAGCTCTACACAAAGACAGAAAAGAAATAAAACTGTTTTAACATAAACAGAATTAGCGTGAAGTCAGAATGTGATGCACATAAAGAGAATGCAAAGAGAAATCTGACCCTTTATGTAGAAGCATTTTTTACATGTTCTCAAAATAAATAACTAGTTCTCCAGTAAAAGGGTGTGAGGGCACCATTTATCACTCAATAGTTCATTCTAAATTCATCTACTATTTACCTATGCTTGCTAATTGCTTTCATCTAAAGAAAAAAATAAACTACCTTAAAACACGAGATAGTTTTGTAACCTGGAGCAAGTTAGATCTGTAAACTGAGAAGTTGAGCTTTTTAATCCACTCTTCCACAGACCCTGATCTTCTTTGACTCCACTTTAAAGAGATGGCTCCCAGACAGTGTCTAATTAGCTTATAAGCAAGGCAAACACAAATTTTATGTGAGTAATTTGACAGGGTTTTTTTTACCACGATGCTCACCTTCTTCATTGGGTGTTGTTAGGTGCCATTGACTCACCTATGACTCATAACAACCCTATGAACAATGGATCTAAACCTTGCTCTGCCCTTGCATTATCCTCACCATATCTGTTATGCTGCAGACTATTGTTAATGTCACTGAATCAATCCATCTTGTTGAGGGTCTTTCTTTCTCTGATCCTCCACCTTTCCCACCACCATGTCCTTTTCTGAAACCTGGCTCCTCCCAACAACATATTCAAGTATATGTGATGAAATTTCACCATCCTTGACTCCAAGGAGCGCCCTGGTTGCACTTCCTGCAAGGCTGACTTTGTTTGTTTTTACCAGTCCATAAGATATTCAGTACTCCTCTCTAACACCACAACTCAAAGGCATTGATTCATCTTCTGTCATTCTTATTCAGTGTCAGAATTTCAGATGTGTAACAAATAATTGAAAAGACCATGACTTGGAGCATATATACCTTGGTCGTTAAAGTGGCGTCCTTATTCTTTAGCACTTTGTAGAAGTCCTTGACAGAAGATTTTTCCAATGCAGCAGCATGCTTTTTGATTTTTAACTACTGTTACCATGCATGTTGATTGTGGATCCAAGTAAAATGAAATCTTTGAAAACGTCAAACATTTCTCCACCTATCAGAGTGTTGCCTGTTTGTCCACTGGTGAAGTCTTTATTGGGAATCCACTCCTATTTCCAGATCCTTGAGGAAATGGTCCTGAGTTATAAAACTGGCAAGAGGCTTCTTTCTTTAATTTTTTAAACTATTTTTATACATTTCAAAAGAGACAGAGAAAAAATTCACAATTATGGTTTTTTTTTTAAAAAAAACAGAAACAAACTCAGAAAAGTGAAAAGGCAAGTCCCTTTTGGCAGGATTTTCCTCCCTTCTCAATTTGTATTTATCCCTAGAATGTGTTGTGTGTGTGTGGGTTGTGTACCATAGAGTCAGAAGGAAATAGTTAATTTTGGAAGGAAATATTTGAATTTCTGGTTTTGTTTTAATATAATGAATGTTTTCAAATAGCTTACCAATTTTTCTATATTTATGATGGTTTATATATAGTTTGCAGGAAAAAGATATGGCAATGAACTTCTGTAAAGATTTACAGCCTTTAAAACCTTAAGGGACACTTCTATTCTCTCCTATAGAGTCAGAATTGACTCAATGACAGTGACTTAATAAGTAAATTGTCATACCTAAAGGAAGATGCTTAACTACTATATTTTTTTATATTATATAGTAGTTATATTTTGCTTCACTGGAGAGAGATGACTGGCTGAAACTTTCTCCTTACCATCAGGAAAGTGTGTCTAACTTTCCTGGGGAAGAATTGAGTGATACTTTTCCTTTATAATGTGCAATTTCTGCTTCAGTCTTCACAGGACAAAAGCATGGCCTCAGAAGTCAGAAATGTCTCCCACGGTGTGAGTGACTTCATCCTGTTGGGCTTCCCTTGCCGCTGGGAAATACAGCTCTTCCTCTTTTTCATATTCTTTGTGACTTATATCCTGACTCTTCTGGGAAATATGGCCATTGTATGTGCAGTGCACTGGGATCGCAGGCTCCATACCCCCATGTACATCCTACTGGCCAACTTTTCCTTCCTGGAGATCTGCTATGTCAACTCTGACGTACCCAACATGCTGGCCAACTTCCTCTCCAAGACCAAAACCATCTCCTTCACTCGATGTCTCCTCCAGTTGTACTTCTTCTTCTCACTGGGCACAACTGAATGCCTATTCCTCTCTATCATGGCCTATGACCGGTTCCTAGCTATCTGCCGTCCCCTGCACTACCCCACGGTCATGACTGCTAAGTTCTGTAAAAGTCTGGTCATCTTTTGTTGGGTGTATGGCTTCCTCTGGTTTCTAATCCCAGTGATACTAGTTACTCAGCTGCCATTCTGTGGCCCAAATGTGATTGATGACTTTCTGTGTGACCTGGGTCCCCTGCTGGCCTTGGCTTCGGCCTGTGTCCCTATCCCAGGAACTGTTCTCATCTGTGGCACCATGAGCTCCCTCCTCATCTTTGCCACCTTTTTCTACATTATTGGCTCATACACCTTGGTGCTGAGGGCTGTTATCCAAGTGCCTTCAGCTGCTGGCAGAAAGAAGGCCTTCTCCACCTGCTCTTCACATCTGGCTGTGGTCTTTCTGTTCTATGGATCTGTCATGATAACATATGTAAGCCCAGGGTCAGGACAAGCAGAGGGCATGCAGAAATTCACTACTTTGTTCTATTCTGTTTTGACCCCGTTTTTCAACCCTATGATCTATAGCCTCCGAAATAAAGAGATGAAGGATGCCTTAAAAAAAGTACTAGGAGTTTCCTAGGTGAGTTTTCTAATAAACCTTTTCGGATATTAAGACTGCTTCCTTTCATATCAGAGGAAGGGCCCCACTCCAAGGTGAGAGAAGAGGGTTTGAATGAACTTGAGTTTCTTGAGGGAAAGCTCCAAATTAGCACGTTTCCCCTTTGCAAGGACATGAGCTGAAAGGAGCAAGTTCTAGCTCCCAAAGAAATTATTAATGAGCAACAAGGATGCTCCCCTATCCGTGTGAGCCTGCGCTTAACAAAGAACTACATCCTTAATCCACAGTTTTCAAAATGCCAAGCAGCAGGACCCTACCACCAGCGGTAGTGGGCCAGGGCGCGGGCCTCAGCAATTTCATGCAAGTCGTGTTTCCTCTTGATCACGGGGCCCTGGTTGTGGAAAGCCTGTAGTGGCTCAGGCGACAACTTCCCTGGCTTCGGTGTCCGCCTATGCTGCTTCTCCAGGCACTCAGTAATCATCCACTTCATTGCCAGGAAGTGGTGCCGCCGCTCAGCCAGGGCACAGGGACCTGGTAGAAGTGGCCGCCCTTGAGGATGGGCACCAACTGATCACAAGCTCATGGTTTTTCAGGGCCTGGTGGAAGATAGTGTGAGGGTTGCATTCGGTGTATGCCTGTACCTCTGCAGAAGCAGCGTGGTATGTCTCAAATTGCTTCCTTTTCACGGCTTCCAGGGTCTGCACCATGAGATGCCTGGCCCGCACCTTGTTTCCTCCTTTCATTATCATGTAGGTAAATTTGCTTACAACGGAGCAGGTTTTGGTCGCCGGCTGAACTGAGTCTTCCTGAGTTCCCGTTCACACTTTTCCTGCTCAGTCAGCTCTGCCACCTGCTTGCAGTGATAACCCTTGTCAATCAGGGCCATAGTGGCTCCACCTCACCTGGGTTAGTGCAGGAAGCCGTGGAACAAGAGCCCATACACCCAGAGCCAGGCCAGGCCAGCCTCGCACAGTGCTCACCGAGGGGGTGCCCATCTTGGCTCCCCAGTTGATATTTTTACTATGAATGTAACACCATTCTTCTGTTTTTCATCCCAGCACAGTATACTATGTGATCGTCTGATTCCAAGTGGCAAAAGTTAGTTCCTGTCATCTCACTAATGCCTAGAATGCTGATATTCATGTGCATCATTTAATTTTTTACAATTTCTACTTTTACATACATTTTATGTGCATTCCATGTTTCAATTATTAAAGGATATTTGTTATTATTTTTCCTCATTTCAACTGACATACAATCTGGGGCTCTACTACTAATAAAACTATCCACATTCCTCTACTGTTCACAGAATTGGTTGGCTAACCCTCTTTCCTAGTCTTTCTTAACCTAATAGCTTTACTAATACTTAACCACACTTGTGGCATTTGACAGGATCACAGAAAGTTATATCAGTACAGCAAACTGACAGACAAGTAAGTATTGTACCAATCAGAACAATGTTTTCCACATACACAGCAAACTGATAATTTAGTTTATAACTCTAATAGCCAAATTCATATTCACACCATATTCTATTCATATTCATATTCTATTGAACAAATTTTCTATTAGCAAAGATTTTTATTGATTAGAAGTAAGTCTAGTTTCAAGAAAGCAAGCACATATTTACGCACACAAACACCATCTCCACTTCTTATTTTCTTGACACACACACCCACACATACACATAGATCCTATCCATAGAGGATGATAGCAAAAACACAGAGGAAAATTTCCCTAGTGTCTCTGGATACTTATCCTGACCCTCTGCCTCATTAGTCAAATCCTTGGGGGAAATGGACACAAAAAAAATCATATAAGATGTATACATAAGGAGTGATGCTTCCCAAAGAGCACACTGAGACACTTGGCCCTATTCAGCAAAGACTTGTAAATTCTTTATAATCACTAACTTAAAAAATAAACTCCATTTTGCTCAGAGTACTAAAGATTTTTTTACATCATAAGGAAGAAAGCCTCTGGAGACACAATGTTCTTTAGCCATGATTCAGTTTTTAGATCTTTTTAATAAGGAAGAGAGCCTGGTAACTGAAGTTCCTATCACAACTTCCTCTTGGAGCCAGAAATGCCACTGGGTATGTAAGGAAGGTGTGGTGCATGAATCAGTTCTCTCTCATTGCTCCTGTGTCCTGCAGACAGAGTCTAAGAGTATGCTGGCTCCTCTGTAAATTCATGGGTTCTTTGTTCCATTTACAACCCTGCAGCACTCTTACCAAACTCCTGAGAGTATTTAGAGTGATAGAAATTCAATTAGACATCACAGTATTTTACAGACTCAGAGCTCACCCTCCTGCTGGTTTTCAGAGTCAGTAAATAGTATGGAAGGAGATTGTCCATCTTCTCCCAAAGAGTAGATGGTGGATTCAAAGCAAATGCCTTTGGGTTGGCAAGGTCACTAGGCCATCAGAGAGAGACTGTTGTCCTCTAGAGAAACTGAGAACTTTGTTAAACTGGTTTAGTGGCATAAAAGAGGAAGGACTGTTTTCTAATACCAGGAAGTAAGTATAGTCCCCTCTTTACTAGAGTCTAGGGTAAAAATTATCTCCATTATCTACACAAAGTTTTTAATGTTTTTGTCAACTTTTGTCTTTTATTACCCTTCTTTTAGTATCCCTTCTCCCATCTATTCTCTATACATGCTATTTTCCATTAAACATGGATGTCCAATTAATATTGTATCCTGAATGAGAAGAATTTCAATGCTGTCTTTGCCAAATACTCAAGTGTACTGCTGCTGTCGCTGTATCAATCTATCTCATTGAGGGGTATGTCAGAGACAATGAAGATGGCTTGAGATAGGACAGGTTCAGAACTGTTGTTCATAGAGTAAACAATGAGTTGTACTCAACTTGATGGCACATAATAACAACAACTTCTCTGAAATATAAGCTAGAGTGCGTTTGTGTGCAATCTAACTCTGGACATAATAGGATCCCAATTTGAGGAAACCTAAGCTGATGATAATGTGTGTTGTTCTACTCATCCCTGTCCTGCTTATTCTGTGAGTGATAAACACCTATTGTTCATGCCATTCAAAAGGTACTTTACTATGAACTTGTGAATATGGTAGCATTGTATCTCTTTTATGGAAAGCAGTATATTAGTATGTCATTTTCACTCGGTGTATTTATCTCTCAATTACTTCTAACAAGGATAAATGTTTTCCAGGTGCACATCATGCAGATAGGTATGTTGTGAAGTACGCTTCTCCAGAAAGGCTCACTTACAGTCATATACATGTAAGTGGAATCACTGATTGTTTTTATAAATCATAAGTATCAAAAGAGGGGACAATTATTTTTATGTTCACCATTGTATCCAAAATCTTAGCATGCTCCTAGTGAACATAACACTGAAAGTATATTTGTTAAATATATAAATTAATAATAAGTGGAAGGAGCTCTGTAATCTAATTTTATCATTCCATTTCTAATTATTATTATAGGCCCATTAACTTTATTTTTCAGCTAAAAATTACAATATGTGGTCTGATATATATAAGTATAGTTGTGGCAGTATCTTTGAAATTATAGCTCTCCCACAAATTTTGGTGCATGTGGGCATAATAATTATAATGCAGGAAATGTATTCTCTTGGGTAAAATTTGACTTTTCATAAAATTCATCTTTGATAGAGACAGATTTTTTCATCATTTTAAAAAATTAATGTTAATAAAAATACCCAAAATTACCTGGACAATAAAACATTTATCCATTGGGTTTACTTAAGTGTGGTCAAGTATGAAGAAGCCCACCTCTTGATCTCCACAGATGGGATAAATGACATAGGATGGAATTTGGTGAGTATATCTTGACACTGATTTTGATGGCTGGAGGGAGAGGTGGCTTTGTAAAGGAAAGGGGAAAGATCTGGTGTGAAAAACAATGTATATGAACTTTTGTAAATCAGTATAAAAAAACAAAACAGTGATATGAATAAATAATATCTTTACCCTTTTATTAGCTATGAATAATATAATAGAGATGAACAATAATTTATTGTAATAAATATAGTAAATAATAGTATGAATAACTTAATTCTATTAAAAATTATTCTCTTCTAAAAGTAAGCATATTTCTGAACTTAAAATTCTAAATTGGCTTATCCACCCAAAACTTCTAAATTCTAACTAGCAATATTAAGAACATAAGAATTAACCAGGATCAATTCTTTGAAGCAGGTTGTTAACAAATATCCAGTCTTATAATTTTGTCTCAACTCTAGATTCAGTCATCATCTGAAATATCTTTCTGGCCTCTTCACATTATAAGAAGATTCTTCTATTGAATAATTTAGATAAAAGCAACATGATGGATATACATAAATTGTTGTGTTTAGGGCTTAATTTCTGGCAAAAATATGAATGTACATAATTTATCTACTAGAGAAATTAATTATTTATGCAGAAGCAAAACACTAAACTGACTCAGGTGCCCAGCCATGGCAGAGATTGCAATACAGTACGGTTCTTTTGGGAACCAAACCAGGGGGAAATGGTGGTAGAGGAAGGAAGTGGAGAGAAGTAAGAGCGGTCTTCAGTAATTTAACACTTATCCAACCTCACACCCTCACCAAACCCCCAGCTCCATGGAGTAGAAATTGGACTTATTTTAAATAGTTCTAAAGAGAAATACTGGGTTGCATGCGCAAAAGTCTTAACAGTGAAAGGCAACATAAGAAAGTGCTTTGAAATGACCAGAGTTCCTCCAACAGAAAATGAGCAGAAGTGTTAAAAATAAAAAAAATCAGATGACACCTTAGATTTGCTAAGTAGATTGAATAGCTGGTTTCAGGTGAAAATGGTACAGGATCCAGCAGGTGTTTCTTCTGTTGTGAATAGGAAGGCAACAAGTCAGAGCTGATGGCAATACTAAGCTCTGACTCCGCACCTAATAGCCACCACAATATAGGGTTTTAAAGGACTTCTAGTTTCATTCTCATCTGTTTTAATTACACCTTTCTACAAGAAATTTTGATTAACAAGATCATTTAACAGCTAT